GAGGTACTATGGGACTTTCATATTTGGGCTCAATAACAGCGTTTCCTTCTTTATTTTCACCTCAATTTCACATATACATAGAGACTATTGATCCATGTGATGATCTGACTACTGTATATGAACAGTGAAATACTATTAAGGTATTCGTCGGGTTACCTCCCGCTATCTCCGCGTCCCGCCATCTCCGTGTACCGCTACCTCCGAATTTCAGAGTGACCCCTATAATCCTCGGTTACTTCCTGCGTTAAGACTTTCCGTCCAAACCTAACCTAACTTAACTTAACCTAACCTAACCAAACCTAACCTAACCTGACCTAACCTAACCTAACCCACGGGTTAAATTTTCATTAAATCTTCCATCCACGGGCTTCGCAGCCGTGGATGCAATGACAGCTAACAACGCAGGCAGTGACGGGATTATAAGGGTCACTCAAGAATTCGGAGATGGCGGGACAGATTTGGGTTCGGAGATGGCGGAACGCGGAGATAGTGGGAACACACGATTCGTCGTGTGGCAAGCCAGTGGTGATAAGATTATGAAGGTTGTCGTACTCGAATCATCAAGGCTTATCAGACTAAGATGCTTATAACTAAAAACTACCGTGTAGTTTATTATTTTGAATTTTTATTTCTCAGAGGTTTAATAACTTAAAACACATAACCTATCATTCAAGAAATGGGAATTTTTAATAAAAATAAAATTTTTGGAAGATTGCATCATTGGTAAAAATAAAAATTTACAAAATAATAAAATTCATGGATAGACAAACTTCTTAGTTCTTTACGCAATTGTACTGATTTGAATATCTAATAGATTGGAGGACAGATGAATACCATCGTAGAAACTGTTAACTGTAATGTAATTTTAGTAGTTTTACACTGTCAAGTTTCAGAAGACCCGAAAACCCAACGAGAACCTAAAGGGGATAAACTAGTGATAACTTTTTTATATGAAATGTTCTTAGCAAGTGTGTGACGAAACGGACACACACGAACAAAATCATCAGTTAACTTATGAAATTCCCACGACCTATAAGGATCGAACCGCAGACAAGTCAAGTTATCAATTGATTCCCCTGAACCGTATCCCAACGTTATCAATGAACCAAGCCAAGCGTGTCTATAGAACTAGGCGTGCTTCCTGATCATTGCTAGGCTCACAAAGCAATAACCGATTGGTGTCCGTTAGATGAGCTAAAGACCGTTTTGTATTCAGTTATCAACTGAGAGTAGCCAGGTGCATGAGATGAATCAATGAATGACTGGAATATATCCTTATTTTTTAATACAGGAATATTTCAAAATTACGATATGTCTATTATCTTATAGTACCATAAAACGTTTTAAGAAATTTAGAAAATGATGTAGACCTAGTTGTTGTAAATGTAAGTTAAATGTTAAGGTAGGATGTTTTGTAAGTTTTATCGCAGCAAAACAAGAAAAAAAACACATATCCTTTTCTTTGGTGTTAAAGAATCGTCGACAACGTAATCCACATCCGCAATCAGAGACAGTAGGGCAACCGAGGTTGCAATTAATTTGACTAACCTAAAACTTTAACCAATTAAACTTGGTGAAACCCCTTTTCACTAGTAGTGGTGGAAAATTAAAATAAGTATACAATATTTTACAATATTCTCTTAGATAACGTTATTTAATTAGTCGGTTATTCCAACGGAAAGAGATACGATGATGAATAGTTGCTGTCAGGGGGAAATGGGAGTTTTAAATCTGATATGCACAATTATTTAATTACAATTTCCATTCGCATAGGTCAAAGAGATTTTAGCAAACTCTACAATGGTACATAAACAATGATACATAAAATGGGAACTCGATGTACTATAACTATGTAGCACCATTCACAGATTACACAAGGATATAATGATTCATCTTAGAGAAGATCAGCCTCGGGTCGGATAAAGACTATCCTTAGCCAGTATTGCACAACAGAAGTTTCAATTAGGTCGTTACTGTTCGCATCAAAACACAATTCGGACTCCTTCCGTAGTGTTAGAAAAACAACGCGAATGTGATTTCACGTAAGCATCTTGAGTGATAGGCGGGTTAAAGGTCACAAAGCGAGCAGAACAAATGACAACGCAGATAATGATGTTATGTCAAGAGTTCCATCCGAATTATAAATGCGTTGTCTTCCTAATTATTATGTTGTAGCCATGGGCTTTGATGAAACCGTTATGTACACTTTTAGTGTCGTACCTGTAGTCACGATCGTAGGGAAGTGTAGGCTAATAATAAAAAATAATAATTTATTGTAATCTGATGGTGTGGAAAAGTTACGTAGAGGGTAATTCTAGCAAATATCTATTCAGTATGGCCATACTTTACTCCAAATCTATACTGTAAACCTTTCAATATAACATTTTAAAAACGTTTGTAATTTTCATAGGCATCAAGGAGAAATGCAGAAATGCAAGACTGAAGATTGACCTCCTTTAGTTGAATTTGCCTCGATCCGGTAACATAGCATACAACTCAGTATGCCAAGATGGAAATATTACAGTGAAATATATTTAACAAGAAAAAAATTAGCTGTATTTAGAAACAGCTATGAATAATAGTAGTTTGAATAATACAAACAAATTATTTTACCAGAACATAATTTAACTAGGCCTATCTGTTCAGCATTTTAACTAGGCCTACAGCCCGTATGGTTTGAACTCATCGAATAACTGTTCCCATATCTTTACCAGCCTTCCCTCGACCTGGATTGTTTCTGTTCATATCTATTCTCAGTTAATAAAGGATACCTACAATGTAATAAAAATTTAGGCAAATTTAAATACTGTTGCATTATTCTTGACTTCCACTGTAACTGACTTGGGCTTGACACGACTTGATTTACAAGTTTTTCGTTTATTTTATGATTATTTAATTAGACAATCTGTTAATTCTACTATTTGTTAAGTAGATGTTTACAACGACGAGCTCAGTAGCGCAGTAAGATCCTCCCTAGTGGGCCGCCAGCGATTGGTAACGGCGAAAGTTTACTTTTTGCCCGTCAGAACAAAACATCCCGTCTAATTGATGATTTCTTGCAGTAATCTACAATATTACTGAGCGTGGTACATCGGTTTTGAGATTTTCCCTTTCACTTTTGATTCCGTCCGCTCACTCTATTTAGCTCTCTGGCTGATTGTGTCTGATAAATCATCAGCGCCATCTGTCACTCGAAACTAGAACTGCAGGGGCGTCAAGAGAAAGGACAGGCCTAGGACTAAACAGTAAAACATGGTAACATAGTAAAAGATAGAACAAGTGCAAATACTTCTCTTCGTCTATTTAGATAGAAAATACTGTCGTAATGAGGAGAATTCTCTTGGCAAAAATCATAAATCGTCTTTATAGAGGGAGGAAAGATAAAACATGGATTTTCTACGGGTTTCAACTAGCCTACCGTAATATATAAAATCATTTTAAAGCTACATAACTATTTTTTGTTATTAAATAACATTACTCAACAATCAATTGAAATAATAATACAACAAACGCCAATTAATTTTGTGACAATAAACAAAGACTTGAAATTAACGTAGCTTACATGATTCAATATATCTGGATAAATCAGTTCATGTTTCTTGAACGGAATATTTTCCCATTTACTAGTATGGGGCATACGAATGCCCCATACTAGTAAATGGGAAAATATTCCGTTCAGAAAAACTAAATTTCTACAGTCACGGTTGAAAAAAAGTTGTAAAACTACATTGTTTTTACGTTACAAGGGATGATTGTATTCGTAAAAGGATAATTTAGGATAGTATTAAGCGTTTTAATAACATGAAAATTACATTTACTGATGATAAAAAAATTGGGAAAAGTAAAACATTAATTTTTTTAATAGAGCAGTAAGCGTTGCAAATATTTTAGTTAGCCTCTATAAAACATAAATAAAATGTAGTCACTACCCATTGTGATGTTGAAATGAGGATAATAAAACAAGATCTGTATCGGTATTTTCAATTTTGTAATAAGCCACAGTAAAAATACACGATGATGTATGATGTATTAATTTGATTAAAAGAAGTATTTTAATAATCTAATCTACTTTATTTACAAACCCATTACAAATCAAATACCAATATTTGAAAAAATATAAATATTTTAATAAGCCTTAATTAGCAAATACTCGTTGCATCCAAACTTTGAAGGTGACTTGGCCAAATTCGAGTTAGTTTATTGATTTTTTAAACAGGTTTATCATCAAATTTACACCTCATGAATAATGTTTTATCAATGAGTGGTTTGCAACAAAGAACAAAGAAAATGTTATTTCGATAAAATTTTCAGTGCTACAAACAAATAAAGAGATTTTCAGAATTATATTATTTGTAAACGAATTTAATAAGTAGACTATAGGTACAGTGTAATTGTTCTTTTCCAATAGGGAAATTCAATAGAATGATAGTGTAGGGTATGTATTTGTTGAGTTTTAGTTGATTCTTGAATCCAAGCAAAAAAAATATATGTATAGTAACCAAAATTTAAAATAAAATGTATTGTATAAACGGTTTTATAATAAAAATCGGTGTGCAAGTTTCACTATTTTTGAAAACATTCGGTAAAAAGTATTCCGCCCAACGTGGGGCTCGAACCCACGACCCTGAGATTAAGAGTCTCATGCTCTACCGACTGAGCTAGCCGGGCTTGTTCGACTGGCCGAAAATAGTCCTTCCTGAACTGGACCATTGGACTGTTCCCCAACTTTGACCAATCACAACATATACCCCAGCCCCATCACACTTCATCAGAACAGAAATCTTTGTTTACTGTTTGATAATGAAGCCTTTTAAATAAAAAAGATTTATTACGGTTAATCATTATTAGTATAAAATACAGTGTTCTTACTAGTCCCACATGAATTAAGCTCTTAAATAAGTATTACAGCGAGTTGCACATTATTATTTAATTTTCTTTAAATTTAAGTCAGTTTAAGTTTTCAATCAGTGACCAATAACTGATATCACTGTATGTTGCAGAAGGAGGCATGTTTCCGCAAGATTGAGTCTTCGCTTACATGTGAGTAACTTCCACATCTACAAAATATATGAAAATTATATTGATAAGTAGATAATATCTTTCAAAGTTGGTTTATGATAATTTGGTATTAGATGCTGCATTAAGGTTTTATTTTCTTATTTTTTTAAACTATATAAAATTATCATAATTTCCACGTTAATTATTTTTTTACATGTTTAATTCCACTGCGTACTCCTTCGCAATACATTTATTAGCGTTTTAATGGTACTGTAATTCGACTAGAAGGTTATTAACATAGAATACAAAACAGCAGTGATCGTGTTTACTTGGTCTATTTATAGTAGACTATAGCTGTGCCCGTTCTACGCACGGGGATCTTATAGTAGTCAGTTGAAACCTTCTTATAAGTACTGTATAAAGAACAGCAGTTGGTTTGCACCATACATTCAATTCTGAAATAATTATTCTATGTACATATTTGTAATATCTGTAGCCATATTTTTAAACTCTGAGTAAACATAGAATTGAATTATAACTCATACACTGCCCTACGATTGAATTCAAATGTTTACTGGATGTTTTATATCATGGTGTCATATTTATAGCAATGCCAATCAGATTGGCATGATTAATTGTTATGAAAAAATCTTGTGCTTGATGACGTTTAGTATATTAAACAAAAATGTCCGTACTTCATATTGTATACGTCAACCATTTGCTCTATTTACAAGAAGAGATATAGCCACACTTCTATTTATTTCCTAATAAATATACATTTAAATAGACTAGGAAAAAAACCCAACTTCTTTTAATTAAACCAGCACGCTTGTAGCAACAATGTCAACGGGACCGCGTCTCGTTGTCCCTCCGTCTCGTTGTCCCTCCGTCTACTTGTACCTCGAGGCCTAGGGACAACTAGTCGTAGGTACAACTAGACGTAGGTACAAGTAGACGGTGGCTCACCCGACTAGTTGTACCTGCAGATTTTTAGGAGGTACAACTAGACGTAGGTACAAGTAGACGTAGGTACAACTAGACGTGTATCCCACCGACAAGTAGTATCACCTAGCTTGTACGGATGCGACCAGTTGTCCCTACGACTAGTAGTCCCTACGACTAGTAGTCTCTACGACTAGTGGTCCCTCCGTCTAGTAGTCCCTACGTCTAGTTGTACCTACGCGTATTTTGCGTCCTTATAGTCTAGTTGTATCTATCCTTCAATTCGTTACCCTGTTTAATTGATTACTGCACGAGTACTTTTTAATAATACCCTTAATTAAATCAGGAACTGCAGTGTTCCGAGTCGATTGAGTATGATTGGCAAATATTTTTCACCGCAATACGATGTTTTAGTAGTTTTACATACGTTAATTGAATGAATTGCAATAGACCGCTGCCCAGCAATTATGTATTACTATTTTTGCTGATTCCTTTAAATATTTTTTCACATAACCTTAAAGTATTTGCATTGATTAGTGTGCATATCCTATAGTTTACAATGGATTTCCCAGTGATCAATGAACAATGAAGTGTACAATGAAGTTGAGGTCCAGCGGTTGAAAACTCGACAAAAACTATGCAATGTACTACACATACTTCCCCATTTAACATACACTGTAAATAATAAATTTGATTGGAATATGTTCCATTTGTTTTGATTTTATTTTCATAATTAGTTGTTATTTCGTCACCAGCATAGCAACCCGTTAAACCCATGTTAGTTTTAAACATTTGTAATTATTTTTTTATGTCTTTTTAGCCTATTTTAATTTATAAAGGCATTCTGTAGATCGACAGGAAAATACATTTCCACCGATATGCGGATATTTTCTCTGTGATGTTCACGAGCTGATAAAAAGGTTGTAAAGAAACATGCTTGCCTACATTATTGATATATTTTCTCAGTTTTGTATAGTTTGGTGAAAAACAGCAATCGTGCCACGGACCGATTTCATCTTCGTCTCGAACTTAAAAATGATCCCGAGCTGAAAAAAAGTCATTTTCGGCCCTAGGTACGAAATATACTCTTAAACTATCGTAGGATCGGTGAATACTAAACTCTATCTTGGAATTGCATACACTCGCTCATATCTTTAAGTTTACGTTGTTGCCATACAATTAATGTATAAATAAACACAAAAATTCACAAGTTTTGTTGTAAGTACCTATATCATGTATAAATAAAAACATACAATAGCATCATGTGTAAGTGTATTCTGTAAAACTTTAAACAAATATTAGTAAAATAGTTTTCAAGTAAACTATTGTTGAATGAATTAGTTTTAAGTTGTTAAATTAACCTCGACCCGTGCTATATGTTCAATGGAGTTTGTCCGGGAAAATACCATAGTAAAATTAAATCAAATAAATAAAATCAAAAGCAATTCATAACAAAAGAATAATAGATACAGAATTAACGTAATTTCTGAAAATCGACAGGGCCCACATATGCGAAGCCTGTGCGTGGGGACCAAGTTGACTCAATAATTGGCAATTTGTCATAGTCTTGTAACATAAATTAATACCACTACTATAATTATCAATACATTTTCAAAGGAGAAACAAACGTCCGATTATTTCTAGGCAGCCACAACAGATAACTTTAGAAAACTACGTTATAAGAATTAGAACAACTCGAAAATTAAATTGTTAACATGATTTGTTTAGCCTAACGAAGAAAATCATGAAAACCAAATTTAACTCCCATAAGAAAAACATGGGGAGCAATTTCGTTTACGTATAAGCCGAGTGAGATAATAGAAAAATATACGCCGATGCTTGATGGCAAATCTGTGCGTGCATACCTTTAATTTGAGACCTCAATAATAAAAATGGTCGGGTAGCAGAGCCAAACGAATAACCCATTTTCTTAAATTTATAAGATTATTTAATTATTTATTTATTTTGATTATTTATTTACTTTACTTGACTGTTAATACCAAAGCAAAAGCTTCAACTTCGTATGCGTCCGGATTACGAATAAACCTAAAACAATCTTACACCAATTTACCAATAAGTTTAATAAACCAAAATTGCACATACTCCGGACAGATTTCTTATAAAGAGATGCTATGACAATATGATCAAATCTCTATTTAATATCGTTTAGGTTGTGTATTGATTAGTCAGGACATTGATTGAATAAATAAATATTTAAACAGTATATATATATATACTAAAACATAAATACAGCACAAAACAAACATATAAAACATAAATGTACAGTACATAAATAGCCTAATTGTTACAAAAAATTAACAATGATCATTTGTTAAATTAATCAGTTCAATGTTATTTATATAATACGACCATAAAGATAGGCGAATGTCTCTCGTGTTTATTAGGACAATAACACAATATACCTTATCGTTGATTCAGGAACACGCCATGAACAGCTATTTCTGAGAAAGTTGAACGAAATACCTGTTGTAAAATGCAGCTAAAGACATCTGCTACAAAGTATTTGACTTATTGTTTAATATAAGCAAAACCATATAGATTCAGTACTTGGAAAGGCAAAGGAAATATTTTGTAAACAGCGTACAGAATGTCCCGTTAATCCCCACACGTTACTCCGAATGGACTTCATTTGCAAATTCTTAGAGTTTCCTTTCACAACAATCCATTCCAGTTATTGGGGTGTTGGGTCAGCCCTCTATCGCGTAGTTGCGAGAAAGTGATTGACCTCCAATCAACCTAAATATTGTTTTGATTTTACGTAGTACTGTGGTAGTTGCTAAAAAAAACTCTTTCACTCACAGTATTAAACATTTTCAAAAAAATGTTGATTATATCAAACTGTTATGAACAGTGTGATTTTTTTATTAATAACATAAGCTTTTAGTTGAGTATTTTAAACTCCTTGAATGACAAAAGTTTTAATGTAAAACAGATCTATAATCTGATGTACGCTGTCCAACAAAGACGTTATTTATTTATTAGTTTTGAAATAATTCCTGGTAATACACATAGCTTAAAAATTAGTCGATTTCGAGAAACAGGTACACTACATTATAGTGCAAACAAAAAGTAAATAACACTTAGATTTTCAATCCATTACTGATTTTATACTGATTTTATACTGATACAACGTAACTTATGAAATACTCTTAGTTTATTAAGGCTTGGTATAAAAAGTCTTGTAAAGTGCCATTCTTGTGTGTTCTCTGGTTAGGAAACTAGCCTTAATATTTAGTTGTTTATGATATAAGCGGTCTGATTCATACCTACAGTGTATTCAGGTTTTGGACTGGCTAGGCCTATATACAAATATGCATGAGTGTTCGATGTCATCATAAGCGTTGGAATGTTTACCTAAAAAAATGTCGTAGTAGAGGGTGATAGTGTAAATCATAGCTGTTCCCTGGTCCATCGGCCGGTGCCTCGAGGGGTAATGACCGACGGACTAGGGATAGAGCTGATGACTCATCCGGTCATGTGAACATCGATATATTAACTATTATAATACTATTTAATAGTAACTAGGTGAAACCCGTCGAAATCGACGGTTACTTTCAAGGATTACGTTAATTCACCTAACTGCGATAAATTGGATGAAATATAGGCTACATATTTTGAGCATTTAGCATTGTTTAAAGAATAATAAGTGTAAAAACAATATTGATATGAATTCTATATGGACCAGCTGTCGCCATTTTTTAACTAAAAAAACATGTAGATGTGTGAGCCAATCACCGAATGTTTGTCTTAAATTCTATTTTCTACCTTATTTTTGGTTGGATTCCACAGCATTTCAGAGTTTCATGATTTGTCTAACCCTTCTAAAATGTTAACATTTAATATTTGGACGTCCACGGGGAGAGAGGTGAATGGGCCTACATGTTACTGTAATTGGGTTATTAGAAATCTACTAGGTGAAACCCGTCGAAATCGACGGTTACTTTCTTCAAGGCTTACCTTAATTCATCTAACTGCAATAAATTGGGTGAAATATACACATTTTGAGCATTTAGCATTGTTTTAAGAGTAATAAGTGTAACAACAATAATGATATTAATTGCGTTAGTTGCCAAATTCGG